AAAAAAAAAAAAAAAAAAAAAACGAGAATCAACGACATAACCTAGCCCATGTCGCTAAACGGTAGACCTATGAATTGGTGGTAAACAGACCTGAGGTCAATCCCTGATAGGAACAGATTAATAGAATTAACTCTCAAAAAAAAGAAAAAGATGTAATTCTCAATAGAATTAAATCTCAAAGAAAAGAAAAATAATTAATTATCAATAGAATTAAATCTCAAAGAAAAGAAAAAAAAAAAATTCTCAATTACCAGAGGCCGGTGAGTTTCATGATAATACCTCAAGGTCGTCGCCCTTCTATAACAAGGTTTTTTTTTTTTTTTTTTTTTTTAAAAGGGCGATGACCTTGAGGTATTATCATCGGACTAACCAGCCCAGGTAAATTCAATCTTGTGTGGCCTGATAGCCTTAGGGTGGCCTGATCAACCACATACCAAATAAACTGAACAACATAATTGGGCGAACGAATTAAATTAGTAATTATTTTATTATGCGTGTATCCGTTTTCCCTTTCTAATAATATTTCGGACTCACGAATAATCGTATCCCATTATAAAAAATAGCAGACACAGAGAGAGAGAGAGAGAGAGAGAGAGAGAGAGAGAGAGAGAGAGAGAGAAGCAGAGAATTGACGCACCTGAGAGCGGCTGTGAAATCCCGACGTCTTGCCCACATACAGAAGCCTGGCGCCGGGATGGACAAGATCAATGATATCCGTTGATACAAGTCGATCGTAGAGAACGAGATCTGCCGATTGCATGAGGCGCAGCGCCTTCACTGTCAGCAATTCGGGATCGCCGGGACCTGTACCGACCAGGTACACGTGGCCCGGCCCCCGCTTCTTCCCCCTCTCCTGGGCTTTCCCCTCCCTCTTCTCCTCTTCCCGCCATCTTTCCTTCAACATCTGCAACACACTTTCCACTTCGGGTAACCTAATCTCGCGATCCCGATCTTCGTTACTCTTCTCAGCTACCTTCTCCCCTCCTCCTCCTCCTCCTTCTCCTCCTCCTCCTTCTCCTCCTCCTCCTCCTCCTTGGTGCTTCTCCCTCCCCCAATTATTTTCAACCGGGAGTGATATTAACCTCAGAGTCTCACTCACTAAACGACAAATTGAACCCTCTCGATTCCCTTCTTCTTTGCTTGCAGGATAACCTTGTTCCCCATCATCTTCTGGAAAAGAACATTGTTCTCGTTGATCTTCCACAGGGCAAGGAGATGACGGAGGAGAGATGATCCCACGACCTTTGGTGGGAGGGATATGATACATCTCGGTAAATGGGGAGGGGCCAGCGGAGGAGGAGGAGGAGGAGGAGGAGGAGGAAGTAGAAAAGGAGGAGGAGGTAGAGCTACCACCCTCAGGGCTTCGAGCCAAGTTCCTTCTCCATGGGGAAGAAGAGGACGAGCGCCATATCCTTCGCCCGCAGCTTGGGGCCCCCCTAAGTCTGGCTATGACGTCAGCTATGGCTATGGCGGACGCGCGCCCACAACGATCACGATGAAGCCACGTGGAAGAAGAAGAAGAAGAAGGTCCGGTTCCGCCGCTGTCGCTGATGTACGGGGAAACCTGACATGCCGATCGCGATCCCGATTCCGATCCCGACGAGCGCAGAAGTAGACGTGTTCGTCGGGATCTCCTGCACCTCGCCGACGAGCGCAGACGTAGTAGACGCGCTCGTCCTGGAGTCGTTGCCGCCGCTGCCGCCGCTGCTCCCCCGGACCACCAGCGCGCGCAGTTCCCGTCAATGCAGAAGCAGCAAGACGAGATGCTCCTGTCGCCGCTCATCGTCGTGCTTTGTGTGGCGACGCTGCTGCCAATGCTGCGACGATGGAGATGGTCATCATCACCCGCCGCCGACATAGCTCGAGAGCTCGACAAGCACCAGGCTATGGCGTCTGTCCTCCTCGAGACTGTCGATAATCTTGATAATGTCGACAACGCCCTCATCGTCCCCGACATCTCGATCTCGATCGGCGAAAAACGTGGGCTTTTCTTACCCGTTGATCTTGGTCTCATCTGGTAGCTCCCTCTCCCTCTTCCCCTCCTGCTGCTCGGCAATTCCCTGACAGGAATCTCGAAGAAGAACCCATCAAGGTTCCACGATGAGGTACGACAATAAATCTCTGCGATTTGCGGAAATGTTCCACGTGTCGTGATGCCAATGCTTAGGGATTTTCTAGCTATGGCGGCGACAGAGGGAGATGACGGAAAAGAACACGACGACGATGATGATGAAGACGAGGAGGAGAATGAGGAGAACGAGGAGAATGAAGAGGTCCACCATCTCTCGCTAGCGACTGTTCCCCACGGCCTTAAGCACCCATTACTTACCTGCCTCGAAATCAGACATGGAGTCTTAAAGGGACTCCTCACTTCTAACGCCGCCATTGACATTTCCATATATACTTAACCGACTACACCTCTCTCTCCCTCTCTCTCTCTCTCTCTCTCTCTCTCTCTCTCTCTCTCTCTCTCTCTCTCTCTGTCTTTCTTTCTTCTGTCTAGGATACGAAGATCGGCAACGCATGCGGCTGGGCCATGGATATTGTCGATATCCTCCCTCCTCTCTCTCTCTCTCTCCCTAGAACGAGACCTGGTAGTAGCTCTCCCTGCAGCTTGGCTATGGCTTCCTGCGTGGCCAATCGGTCTGAGACTCCTCCTTCGCTCGTGGTTCACGCGGCCGTGGCGATTCTTAATTGCCCCTTCACTCCCCCCTCTTGATCCCTTGTTGGCCCCCCATAGTTATGACTTCCAGCCTGTCAATCAATCAATTGCGTTTAGCAGGGACACCACAGCCGTTAAAATTGGAACGATGTAACGGAGATTTTTCTTTTTTTTTTCATTTTCATTTTTGGGCAAAAAAATACCGTTCTCGGCCTTTTGGCTAAGTAAGATCAAGTGTAGTATCTGTTATCTGATCAGTTTAATATCTGATCCGTGGTCCATCGGGACAAAAAAAAAAAAAAAGGGGGATCAGTTACTAGCAAAGTAGGTCAATTAAACATTAAAAAAAAAAAAAAAAAAAAACCCTATCAATTGTCATGAGATTTAATACTGGGGAAACCATAGCCGCAACTGAAACCACGCATTCGTAATTCATAAGCTTGTATCATTTGCGGGCGGGACTGGTTTTTTTTTTTTTTTTTTTTTTTTTTTTCCCGGAACTTCGTTTTCCCGGAGCCGATCCATGAATACACTCAGAGCATATCTCCCAGAAAAAAAAAAAAAAAAAAAAAAAAAACCCTCCGAAGATACTCAACTACCGTCCTCACCCGGCCATTGTCGAGCTGTATTTGGCGTAACTTTCAGCCTAGATGCGGCGATGATGACGGGGCGCTCTATTCGGGTGAAGACAGTAGCACTTTTTCCTGGATGCAGTTACGCGCCGTCCTGGATGTATCTGACCGATACTTTTGAACAGGAATATATGACACGATAATTCGAAGAAACTTTTTTTTTTTTTTTTTTTTTTTTTCGTAACATGAACACTTGCTCCTTTCTATGAAGAAACTTTTTTAGTTCTTCTGTTCTTTTCTTTTTTGTTTTTCTTTTTCTCTTAACAATAATTCTTCTGCTCCGAACCAGAGTGGGTAATAAATTTTACTATAATTTTCATATTTACGATCTCTTTGAGGGCATACTCACAATACATGTTGCATTTTTTCACTTATTTCTGGACGGAATCGTGGCCAGATGCATGCACGTTCGGCCCTAAATGAGGTCAGATACTCTTTTTTTTTTTTTTTTTTTTTTTTTTTTTTTTTTTTTTTTAAGCCGGCCCTGAATGCGTCCCACATGTGTGTCAACATTCGAAACAATTACCAAATAATGAGCTAGAAGTTTCACCAAAGCTTCCTCAAAACCATCAGTACATAATTAGACTCCCTTTTGTCCGCGAACAATATCACCGCAATCACACACCATCCTGGAGGTATCTGACCGCAATTACAGTCCGAAATCAGTCATTAAGTCCTTGTGTGAGTAATGCCCTCACCGATCAGTTACGGCCTGATCCAAGATGGTCCATCGGAACACGTGGTATTGATGTTACTTTTTACTGCTTTTTTTTTCAGTGATGTCGTCGTTTTTCTTTCTCTCTTCTTTTTTTTTTTTTTTTTCATTCCATTCAAAATTCTGGCCCAGAGTGCCCAAGGCAACGAATAGTTTGAAACACAGAATGCACAACCAGGGGCCAAGTCCCACCAGCGGTTCAAAAAATAAAGGCAATGAGTACCGGTCCTGTGTTTGACACTCTTTTCAGCGGCAGATAGCGAACGGATCGGACGGTCCTAATTTTGTTGCCGTGCATTGCGTACAAATAGTACGACGGCAGATCTTTCTCACCCTCTACTTAGCCATTAACAGTGCTAGGCATTCTTTGTCATCGCTGGAGGGGTTGGTGTTCTTTGTCATCGCTGGAGGGGTTGGTGTTTTGTTGGGTCAGGATTGAAAACCAGTTCGGAAATTTGTAAGGGCCAGAATTTAAAAAAATATGCTGAGACGAATGTGTCAGTCTGAGCAGACTACCCTCTCTCTCTCTCTCTCTCTCTCTCTCTCTCTCTCTCTCTGTGTGTGTGTGTGTGTGTGTGTGTGTCTTGGTGTGCGTGCACACACGCACATGCTTTGTGCGAGTGTGTTTGTGTCTTCGTGACACGCACATGCACAATGCATGTGCATGTGCTTGTGTCTTCCTGTGTGTGCACACAAAACATGCACACACACGGTGTGCGAGTGTGTGTTTGTCTTCGTGTGTGTGCACACACGCACATGCTTTCTGCCTGGACATGCACTGCACAGCCTTCGGCGCCTCTCACACATACACCGAAGGCAAGAACTATGAGGATGTATTGTCCCATGTATAGGGGGAAAATACATTCATGGGAAAATACATTCTCATTTTCCACATTTGGTGAGGTGGAGCAAGCCCCAAGGAGGGGCGCTCCCGAAACTCCTGGCAGATTGCCATCATTGCAGGACCCTTCTAAACGTTTTTTTTTGTTTTTTCATTCTTCCCTCATCTATCTCATCTTCTTGGTAGTATGCATCTATCTCATCCTCTCGCTAGTCTACACGTTTTTGAAGTCCTCAAAAAAGCTTTGTAATGGTGTCGCACGGTGCCACCCCCTCAAACCGTGCCACACAGGGGCGTGGTCCCACTAGCAAAGAGTAGCGGATCGAATGCCTGGATCTGGACGTGTTTGTGGAGAGTGTGCAGGAAATCGAGATTGAACTGCTTTTCTGCATCTCTGGGTAAAACACATCCAGATTCGGGCATTCCATCCGATCCACTTTGCTATGCTAGTGGGACCTCGGCCCAGGTATAGGAATGAAAACCAAACTCGTGCAGGGGTCATCTTAAAATTTGGAAAATACTTTTCAAAAAATAAAAATAAAAAAAATGGAAGATAAAAAAGTATACTCACACGAGGATTTCTCTAAATGTATCTGAGCGCAATTAGGGCCAGCATGGATGAATCTGGCGGCAAATCATGTCCACAGCTTAGTACAGAAAGTCCTACTGTGGTTATGCCCTCAATGATGGGTTTGTTGTCCCGCTCGATCGATCGTTTGCACTTACATTTATTTTCTACATGCATAAAGGGATTCAGACTTTTGTTTTGTTTTTTTTTTCTGCCAAAAGTGGCACCCTTCGGGTGTGGTTCGGTCACTCCAGCCTGGCTCACACCGGGGGCCAAGTCCCACTAGCAGCGTTGAGCTACCTCAACGCCTGAATGTGGACGTGTTTGTGGAGACGTGCAGTTCAGGAAACTCAACACCATTTCTGCACATCTCCGCAAAAGCGT